GTAGAGAAGTCTATGAGGAAATGTTCCTACTTCTCTCTCTCTTTATTACCTCAGATTGTAGAGAAGTCTATGAGGAAATGTTCCTACTTCTCTCTCTCTTTATTACCTCAGATTGTAGAGAAGTCTATGAGGAAGTGTTCCTACTTCTCTCTCTCTTTATTACCTCAGATTGTAGAGAAGTCTATGAGGAAATGTTCCTACTTCTCTCTCTCTATTACCTCAGATTGTAGAGAAGTCTATGAGAAAATGTTCCTACTTCTCTCTTTATTGCCTCAGATTGTAGAGAAGTCTATGAGGAAATGTTCCTACTTCTCTCTCTTTATTACCTCAGATTGTATAGAAGTCTATGAGGAAATGTTCCTACTTCTCTCTCTCTTTATTACCTCAGATTGTAGAGAAGTCTATGAGAAAATGTTCCTACTTCTCTCTTTATTGCCTCAGATTGTAGAGAAGTCTATGAGGAAATGTTCCTACTTCTCTCTTTATTACCTCAGATTGTAGAGAAGTCTATGAAGAAATGTTCCTACTTCTCTCTCTTTATTACCTCAGATTGTATAGAAGTTTATGAGAAAATGTTCCTACTTCTCTCTTTATTACCTCAGATTGTAGAGAAGTCTATGAGGAAATGTTCCTACTTCTCTCTTTATTACCTCAGATTGTAGAGAAGTCTATGAGGAAATGTTCCTACTTCTCTCTCTCTTTATTACCTCAGATTGTAGAGAAGTCTATGAGGAAATGTTCCTACTTCTCTCTCTCTTTATTACCTCAGATTGTTTAGAAGTCTATGAGGAAATGTTCCTACTTCTTTCTCTCTCTATTACCTCAGATTGTAGAGAAGTCTATGAGGAAATATTCCTACTTCTCTCTCTATTACCTCAGATTGTAGAGAAGTCTATGAGGAAATGTTCCTACTTCTCTCTCTCTCTATTACCTCAGATTGTAGAGAAGTATATGAGGAAATGTTCCTACTTCTCTCTTTATTACCTCAGATTGTAGAGAAGTCTATGAGGAAATGTTCCTACTTCTCTCTCTATTACCTCAGATTGTATAGAAGTCTATGAGAAAATGTTCCTACTTCTCTCTCTCTTTATCACCTCAGATTGTAGAGAAGTCTATGAGAAAATGTTCCTACTTCTCTCTCTCTCTATTACCTCAGATTGTAGAGAAGTCTATGAGGAAATGTTCCTACTTCTCTCTCTCTTTATTACCTCAGATTGTATAGAAGTCTATGAGGAAATGTTCCTACTTCTCTCTCTATTTATTACCTCAGATTGTAGAGAAGTCTATGAGGAAATGTTCCTACTTCTCTCTCTCTCTATTACCTCAGATTGTTTAGAAGTCTATGAGAAAATGTTCCTACTTCTCTCTCTCTTTATTACCTCAGATTGTTTAGAAGTCTATGAGGAAATGTTCCTACTTCTCTCTCTATTTATTACCTCAGATTGTAGAGAAGTCTATGAGGAAATGTTCCTACTTCTCTCTCTCTCTATTACCTCAGATTGTAGAGAAGTCTATGAGAAAATGTTCCTACTTCTCTCTCTCTATTACCTCAGATTGTAGAGAAGTCTATGAGGAAATGTTCCTACTTCTCTCTCTCTTTATTACCTCAGATTGTTTAGAAGTCTATGAGGAAATGTTCCTACTTCTCTCTCTATTTATTACCTCAGATTGTAGAGAAGTCTATGAGGAAATGTTCCTACTTCTCTCTCTCTCTATTACCTCAGATTGTAGAGAAGTCTATGAGAAAATGTTCCTACTTCTCTCTCTCTTTATTACCTCAGATTGTAGAGAAGTATATGAGGAAATGTTCCTACTTCTCTCTCTCTTTATTACCTCAGATTGTATAGAAGTCTATGAGAAAATGTTCCTACTTCTCTCTCTCTTTATTACCTCAGATTGTTTAGAAGTCTATGAGAAAATGTTCCTACTTCTCTCTCTCTTTATTACCTCAGATTGTATAGAAGTCTATGAGGAAATGTTCCTACTTCTCTCTCTCTTTATTACCTCAGATTGTAGAGAAGTCTATGAGAAAATGTTCCTACTTCTCTCTCTCTTTATTACCTCAGATTGTTTAGAAGTCTATGAGAAAATGTTCCTACTTCTCTCTCTCTTTATTACCTCAGATTGTAGAGAAGTCTATGAGAAAATGTTCCTACTTCTCTCTCTCTTTATTACCTCAGATTGTTTAGAAGTCTATGAGGAAATGTTCCTACTTCTCTCTCTATTTATTACCTCAGATTGTAGAGAAGTCTATGAGGAAATGTTCCTACTTCTCTCTCTCTCTATTACCTCAGATTGTAGAGAAGTCTATGAGGAAGTGTTCCTACTTCTCTCTCTATTACCTCAGATTGTAGAGAAGTCTATGAGGAAATGTTCCTACTTCTCTCTCTCTATTACCTCAGATTGTAGAGAAGTCTATGAGGAAGTGTTCCTACTTCTCTCTCTATTACCTCAGATTGTAGAGAAGTCTATGAGAAAATGTTCCTACTTCTCTCTCTCTTTATTACCTCAGATTGTTTAGAAGTCTATGAGAAAATGTTCCTACTTCTCTCTCTCTTTATTACCTCAGATTGTTTAGAAGTCTATGAGGAAATGTTCCTACTTCTCTCTCTCTCTATTACCTCAGATTGTAGAGAAGTCTATGAGGAAGTGTTCCTACTTCTCTCTCTATTACCTCAGATTGTAGAGAAGTCTATGAGGAAATGTTCCTACTTCTCTCTCTCTCTATTACCTCAGATTGTAGAGAAGTCTATGAGGAAGTGTTCCTACTTCTCTCTCTATTACCTCAGATTGTAGAGAAGTCTATGAGGAAATGTTCCTACTTCTCTCTCTCTATTACCTCAGATTGTAGAGAAGTCTATGAGGAAGTGTTCCTACTTCTCTCTCTATTACCTCCGATTGTAGAGAAGTCTATGAGGAAATGTTCCTACTTCTCTCTCTATTTATTACCTCAGATTGTAGAGAAGTCTATGAGGAAATGTTCCTACTTCTCTCTCTATTACCTCAGATTGTAGAGAAGTCTATGAGGAAATGTTCCTACTTCTCTCTCTCTCTATTACCTCAGATTGTAGAGAAGTCTATGAGGAAATGTTCCTACTTCTCTCTCTCTCTATCACCTCAGATTGTAGAGAAGTCTATGAGGAAATGTTCCTACTTCTCTCTCTCTCTATCACCTCAGATTGTAGAGAAGTCTATGAGGAAATGTTCCTACTTCTCTCTCTCTCTATCACCTCAGATTGTAGAGAAGTCTATGAGGAAATGTTCCTACTTCTCTCTCTCTTTATCACCTCAGATTGTAGAGAAGTCTATGAGGAAATGTTCCTACTTCTCTCTCTCTCTATCACCTCAGATTGTAGAGAAGTCTATGAGGAAATGTTCCTACTTCTCTCTCTCTCTTATCACCTCAGATTGTAGAGAAGTCTATGAGGAAATGTTCCTACTTCTCTCTCTCTCTATCACCTCAGATTGTAGAGAAGTCTATGAGGAAATGTTCCTACTTCTCTCTCTCTTCTATCACCTCAGATTGTAGAGAAGTCTATGAGAAATGTTCCTACTTCTCTCTCTCTTTCTCTCTCTCTCTATCACCTCAGATTGTAGAGAAGTCTATGAGGAAATGTTCCTACTTCTCTCTCTCTCTATCACCTCAGATTGTAGAGAAGTCTATGAGGAAATGTTCCTACTTCTCTCTCTATTTATTACCTCAGATTGTAGAGAAGTCTATGAGGAAATGTTCCTACTTCTCTCTCTCTCTATTACCTCAGATTGTAGAGAAGTCTATGAGGAAGTGTTCCTACTTCTCTCTCTCTTTATCACCTCAGATTGTAGAGAAGTCTATGAGAAAATGTTCCTACTTCTCTCTCTCTTTATTACCTCAGATTGTTTAGAAGTCTATGAGAAAATGTTCCTACTTCTCTCTCTCTTTATTACCTCAGATTGTTTAGAAGTCTATGAGGAAATGTTCCTACTTCTCTCTCTATTTATTACCTCAGATTGTAGAGAAGTCTATGAGAAAATGTTCCTACTTCTCTCTCTCTTTATTACCTCAGATTGTAGAGAAGTCTATGAGAAAATGTTCCGACTTCTCTCTCTCTTTATTACCTCAGATTGTAGAGAAGTCTATGAGGAAATGTTCCGACTTCTCTCTCTCTTTATTACCTCAGATTGTATAGAAGTCTATGAGAAAATGTTCCTACTTCTCTCTTTATTACCTCAGATTGTAGAGAAGTCTATGAGGAAATGTTCCGACTTCTCTCTCTCTTTATTACCTCAGATTGTAGAGAAGTCTATGAGGAAATGTTCCTACTTCTCTCTCTCTGTATTACCTCAGATTGTAGAGAAGTCTATGAGGAAATGTTCCGACTTCTCTCTCTCTTTATTACCTCAGATTGTATAGAAGTCTATGAGGAAATGTTCCTACTTCTCTCTCTCTTTATTACCTCAGATTGTAGAGAAGTCTATGAGGAAGTGTTCCTACTTCTCTCTCTCTCTATTACCTCAGATTGTAGAGAAGTCTATGAGAAAATGTTCCTACTTCTCTCTTTATTACCTCAGATTGTAGAGAAGTCTATGAGAAAATGTTCCTACTTCTCTCTTTATTACCTCAGATTGTAGAGAAGTCTATGAGAAAATGTTCCTACTTCTCTCTCTCTTTATTACCTCAGATTGTAGAGAAGTCTATGAGAAAATGTTCCTACTTCTCTCTCTCTCTATTACCTCAGATTGTAGAGAAGTCTATGAGGAAATGTTCCTACTTCTCTCTCTCTTTATTGCCTCAGATTGTAGAGAAGTCTATGAGGAAATGTTCCTACTTCTCTCTCTCTTTATTACCTCAGATTGTAGAGAAGTCTATGAGGAAATGTTCCTACTTCTCTCTCTCTTTATTACCTCAGATTGTAGAGAAGTCTATGAGGAAATGTTCCTACTTCTCTCTTTATTACCTCAGATTGTAGAGAAGTCTATGAGGAAATGTTCCTACTTCTCTCTCTCTTTATTACCTCAGATTGTAGAGAAGTCTATGAGAAATTGTCTCTACTTCTCTCTTTATTTATTGTATAGAAGTCTATGTCAATTGTAGGTCATTTTTCTGATGAGTGAATGTTTTAGTATCTACTTCTGTCTTCTTCAACACAGCATGATGTTCATTTAGTGAGTTATGGTCCCGTTTAGAGTAGAATAGACGATGAAGCAGCGTATGCTTCAGGGCGGGGCTACCTGTGGTTACTACAGTGTTGTTCATGTTTTCATCTCACAACTTTAACCCTTTCACAGTTCGGTTCTCACTTCATCGATGTTAGCATTTACATTTGAATGCTGATTCCAATAAACAAGAGGCTGACGACAAAAGATCAAGATGGCCACAGTGAAAGCGCTAAACTCAAGGCTTCAAAACCGTAGTCCACAAACCGAAGTGTTACGTCAGGTCAGCCGGTTATAAACAGTGTGTGGTTCGTTGTTTTCGGTTGTTGTTGCCATGGCAGCTGTGTTGTTGTCTTGGCGATGTGTTTGTTATGTGTGTCGGCGTGTTGCCAGCGCCTCCATCAGCTCATGGCACAAACACTGACAGAAGCCGTAGAGCACGAGCAGCAGCAGCGTGGAGGGAACCAGACTGACGAGCACCACGCCGAGCCACAGCCGCCCGATCATCAGCAGGTAGATCCCCAGAGGCAGAGAGCTGAAGTACACCTGCAAACAAGGACAGGTTTACATCATTCAGGTAGATCCCAAGAGGCAGTGAGCTGAAGAAAACCTGCATCAAGGACACGGTTACTTCCTGTAGTAGATCCCCTGAAGTACACCTGCAAACAAGGACACATTAACCCTGCAGCTATTAGTAGAGCCTCCTCACCAGACACAGCGCCCCTAGCAGGCAGCGCGGGAAACTGCGAGACGTCCAGGCGTGACACTTGTGAGCCGGCAGGCTGCAGGGCAGGGACTCCAGGCTGGGGGGGCGGTAGACCCCAACCACATCCACCATGCTTAGGGACTCAGAGGACGGGGAGTCTGCAGGGAGCTCCATGATGGTGATCACCAGACAGTCTGAGGAGCAGGGAGACACGACGCCTCCTGCTGGGGGAGAGAGGGACAGATGATGTTACTGTCAGGAGCCCAGGAACCTAAACATGGACATCTATAAGTTTGAGTCGCCAAGAGGCTAAGCTTTATGCTGCGACGCGTTTTCAATGAGAAAATCGAACCGAAGTTGATTTCAAAAAAGTCTTCCGTCCACACGGAATCGGCTCAAGAAATGTGTCCGTCCAACGAAACCGCTCGACCCGCTGGAGACGCTGTAGTACATATGCCGGGCCTGTAAGTGGCGCTGTACTTCCGCCACAAAATACACCAAAAGCAGCGAATAAGACCCCCCGAGCATGGGCATAAGGCATAAACAAACAGCTGTAGATTTTGCACTGAAATCTGTGTCCTGGTCCGTAGCGTCTGGAGCACGAACGCAACCCTGTGATCCGTCATTGTTGTTGTTGTTGTTGGCGAAACGCATCAGCAATGACGCGGGGGTGAGCAGGAGAGGTGGAGAGAGGCGGGGCTATGGCGCCATCGATTCAGGAAAAGATCATATAGGGCGTACACACGGAGCCGCAAGCGTGTCGTCTCCAGACTTACCCACTTCGGGAGCCGATTTAAACGTTTATCGGTTTCGGGCTCCGAAGCCGTGGCTCCGTTTTGGCTTCGTGTGGACGGACCGTCTATACGATAAAGAACTTTAGCGGATACAACTGAAATCGTCTCCGTGTGGACGCTGCCTTAGAAGGACCAAAACGGTCAACAGAAAGCGCAAGCTAACCCTCTGTCATCCGCACCGACATGTAACAGGTGACTTATAAACACAAACCACGCCCATGTGACGATTACCGGAAGTGCTCAACAAACACTAATAAAAGGGACAAATAATAAACTCAGGCATTTTGGCTCCAACAAGCGAAGTGATTTCACCGGTCAGACTGCTGGGACTGAGCACCACCTCACGCCCTCCTCCTCCTCCTCCTCCTCCTCCTCCGCCTCCGCCTCCTCCTCCTCCTCCGCCTCCTCCTCCTCCTCCTCCTCCTCCTCGGCGGGCTCGGTCCTGACACGACAGAACAGCCAGGATGTGTCGGTCGTCCTCCATCAACCACACCTGAAGACGAAACAGACAGACAGCTTCACCTCCTCGTTAGTAGAGTTCCCTAGTCTCACCTCCTTGTTAGTAAAGCCTCACCTCCTCGTTAGTAAAGCCTCACCTCCTCCTCGTTAGTAAAGCCTCACCTCCTCGTTAGTAAAGTCTCACCTCCTCGTTAGTAAAGCCTCACCTCCTCCTCGTTAGTAAAGCCTCACCTCCTCGTTAATAGAGTTCCCTAGTCTCACCTCCTCGTTAGTAAAGTCTCACCTCCTCGTTAGTAAAGCCTCACCTCCTCCTCGTTAGTAAAGCCTCACCTCCTCGTTAATAGAGTTCCCTAGTCTCACCTCCTCGTTAGTAAAGCCTCACCTCCTCCTCGTTAGTAAAGCCTCACCTCCTCGTCAGTAAAGCCTCACTTCCTCCTCGTTAGTAAAGCCTCACCTCCTCGTTAATAGAGTTCCCTAGTCTCACCTCCTCGTTAGTAAAGTCTCACCTCCTCGTTAGTAAAGCCTCACCTCCTCGTTAGTAAAGCCTCACCTCCTCGTTAATAGAGTTCCCTAGTCTCACCTCCTCGTTAGTAAAGTCTCACCTCCTCGTTAGTAAAGCCTCACCTCCTCGTTAGTAAAGCCTCACCTCCTCGTTAGTAAAGCTTCACCTCCTCGTTAATAGAGTTCCCTAGTCTCACCTCCTCGTTAGTAAAGCCTCACCTCCTCCTCGTTAGTAAAGCCTCACCTCCTCGTTAATAGAGTTCCCTAGTCTCACCTCCTCGTTAGTAAAGCCTCACCTCCTCCTCGTTAGTAAAGCCTCACCTCCTCGTCAGTAAAGCCTCACCTCCTCCTCGTTAGTAAAGCCTCACCTCCTCGTTAATAGAGTTCCCTAGTCTCACCTCCTCGTTAGTAAAGTCTCACCTCCTCGTTAGTAAAGTCTCACCTCCTCGTTAGTAAAGCCTCACCTCCTCGTTAGTAAAGCCTCACCTCCTCGTTAATAGAGTTCCCTAGTCTCACCTCCTCGTTAGTAAAGTCTCACCTCCTCGTTAGTAAAGCCTCACCTCCTCGTTAGTAAAGCCTCACCTCCTCCTCGTTAGTAAAGCCTCACCTCCTCGTTAATAGAGTTCCCTAGTCTCACCTCCTCGTTAGTAAAGTCTCACCTCCTCGTTAGTAAAGCCTCACCTCCTCCTCGTTAGTCAAGCCTCACCTCCTCGTTAGTAAAGCCTCACCTCCTCGTTAATAGAGTTCCCTAGTCTCACCTCCTCGTTAGTAAAGTCTCACCTCCTCGTTAGTAAAGCCTCACCTCCTCCTCGTTAGTAAAGCCTCACCTCCTCGTTAATAGAGTTCCCTAGTCTCACCTCCTCGTTAGTAAAGCCTCACCTCCTCCTCGTTAGTAAAGCCTCACCTCCTCGTCAGTAAAGCCTCACCTCCTCCTCGTTAGTAAAGCCTCACCTCCTCGTTAATAGAGTTCCCTAGTCTCACCTCCTCGTTAGTAAAGCCTCACCTCCTCGTTAGTAAAGCCTCACCTCCTCGTTAGTAAAGCCTCACCTCCTCGTTAGTAAAGCTTCACCTCCTCGTTAATAGAGTTCCCTAGTCTCACCTCCTCGTTAGTAAAGCCTCACCTCCTCCTCGTTAGTAAAGCCTCACCTCCTCGTTAATAGAGTTCCCTAGTCTCACCTCCTCGTTAGTAAAGTCTCACCTCCTCGTTAGTAAAGCCTCACCTCCTCCTCGTTAGTCAAGCCTCACCTCCTCGTTAGTAAAGCCTCACCTCCTCGTTAATAGAGTTCCCTAGTCTCACCTCCTCGTTAGTAAAGTCTCACCTCCTCGTTAGTAAAGCCTCACCTCCTCCTCGTTAGTAAAGCCTCACCTCCTCGTTAATAGAGTTCCCTAGTCTCACCTCCTCGTTAGTAAAGCCTCACCTCCTCCTCGTTAGTAAAGCCTCACCTCCTCGTCAGTAAAGCCTCACCTCCTCCTCGTTAGTAAAGCCTCACCTCCTCGTTAATAGAGTTCCCTAGTCTCACCTCCTCGTTAGTAAAGTCTCACCTCCTCGTTAGTAAAGTCTCACCTCCTCGTTAGTAAAGCCTCACCTCCTCGTTAGTAAAGCCTCACCTCCTCGTTAATAGAGTTCCCTAGTCTCACCTCCTCGTTAGTAAAGTCTCACCTCCTCGTTAGTAAAGCCTCACCTCCTCGTTAGTAAAGCCTCACCTCCTCGTTAGTAAAGCTTCACCTCCTCGTTAATAGAGTTCCCTAGTCTCACCTCCTCGTTAGTAAAGCCTCACCTCCTCCTCGTTAGTAAAGCCTCACCTCCTCGTTAATAGAGTTCCCTAGTCTCACCTCCTCGTTAGTAAAGCCTCACCTTCTCCTCGTTAGTAAAGCCTCACCTCCTCGTCAGTAAAGCCTCACCTCCTCCTCGTTAGTAAAACCTCACCTCCTCGTTAATAGAGTTCCCTAGTCTCACCTCCTCGTTAGTAAAGTCTCACCTCCTCGTTAGTAAAGTCTCACCTCCTCGTTAGTAAAGCCTCACCTCCTCGTTAGTAAAGCCTCACCTCCTCGTTAATAGAGTTCCCTAGTCTCACCTCCTCGTTAGTCAAGCCTCACCTCCTCGTTAGTAAAGCCTCACCTCCTCCTCGTTAGTAAAGCCTCACCTCCTCGTTAGTAAAGTCTCACCTCCTCGTTAGTAAAGCCTCACCTCCTCCTCGTTAGTAAAGCCTCACCTCCTCGTTAATAGAGTTCCCTAGTCTCACCTCCTCGTTAGTAAAGTCTCACCTCCTCGTTAGTAAAGCCTCACCTCCTCCTCGTTAGTAAAGCCTCACCTCCTCGTTAATAGAGTTCCCTAGTCTCACCTCCTCGTTAGTAAAGCCTCACCTCCTCCTCGTTAGTAAAGCCTCACCTCCTCGTCAGTAAAGCCTCACCTCCTCCTCGTTAGTAAAGCCTCACCTCCTCGTTAATAGAGTTCCCTAGTCTCACCTCCTCGTTAGTAAAGTCTCACCTCCTCGTTAGTAAAGTCTCACCTCCTCGTTAGTAAAGCCTCACCTCCTCGTTAATAGAGTTCCCTAGCCTCACCTCCTCGTTAGTAAAGTCTCACCTCCTCGTTAGTAAAGTCTCACCTCCTCGTTAGTAAAGCCTCACCTCCTCGTTAGTAAAGCCTCACCTCCTCGTTAGTAAAGCTTCACCTCCTCGTTAATAGAGTTCCCTAGTCTCACCTCCTCGTTAGTAAAGCCTCACCTCCTCCTCGTTAGTAAAGCCTCACCTCCTCGTTAATAGAGTTCCCTAGTCTCACCTCCTCGTTAGTAAAGCCTCACCTTCTCCTCGTTAGTAAAGCCTCACCTCCTCGTCAGTAAAGCCTCACCTCCTCGTTAGTAAAGCCTCACCTTCTCCTCGTTAATAAAGCCTCACCTCCTCGTCAGTAAAGCCTCACCTCCTCCTCGTTAGTAAAACCTCACCTCCTCGTTAATAGAGTTCCCTAGTCTCACCTCCTGATTAGTAAAGTCTCACCTCCTCGTTAGTAAAGTCTCACCTCCTCGTTAGTAAAGCCTCACCTCCTCGTTAGTAAAGCCTCACCTCCTCGTTAATAGAGTTCCCTAGTCTCACCTCCTCGTTAGTAAAGTCTCACCTCCTCGTTAGTAAAGCCTCACCTCCTCGTTAGTAAAGCTTCACCTCCTCGTTAATAGAGTTCCCTAGTCCTCACCTCCTCGTTAGTAAAGCCTCACCTCCTCCTCGTTAGTAAAGCCTCACCTCCTCGTTAATAGAGTTCCCTAGTCTCACCTCCTCGTTAGTAAAGTCTCACCTCCTCGTTAGTAAAGCCTCACCTCCTCCTCGTTAGTCAAGCCTCACCCTCCTCGTTAGTAAAGCCTCACCTCCTCGTTAATAGAGTTCCCTAGTCTCACCTCCTCGTTAGTAAAGTCTCACCTCCTCGTTAGTAAAGCCTCACCTCCTCCTCGTTAGTCAAGCCTCACCTCCTCGTTAGTCAAGCCTCACCTCCTCCTCGTTAGTAAAGCCTCACCTCCTCCTCGTTAGTAAAGCCTCACCTCCTCCTCGTCAGTAAAGCCTCACCTCCTCCTCGTTAGTAAAGCCTCACCTCCTCGTCAGTAAAGCCTCACCTCCTCCTCGTTAGTAAAGCCTCACCTCCTCCTCGTTAGTAAAGCCTCACCTCCTCGTTAGTAAAGCCTCACCTCCTCCTCGTTAGTAAAGCCTCACCTCCTCCTCGTTAGTCAAGCCTCACCTCCTCGTTAGTAAAGCCTCACCACCTCCTCCTCGTTAGTAAAGCCTCACCTCCTCCTCGTCAGTAAAGCCTCACCTCCTCCTCGTTAGTAAAGCCTCACCTCCTCGTTAGTAAAGCCTCACCTCCTCGTCGGGGACGTTGGTCTCGTGGCGGCAGAACGGACAGCTGATGACGGACGGCGAAGACTCTCCTGAAGATCAATCAGAATCATCAACGTTATCTCATTGGTTCATTAGAATCCTGCTATCTCATTGGTTTATTAGTTTGGTGCTATCTCATTGGTTTATTAGTACAGTGCCATCTCACTGAAGGACCCTTAAAGGGAACTCACCCATGTCGACCATCTTCTTCAGACACTTGGCACAGACTCGGTGCAGGCAGCCCAGAACTTTGGGTTTACGGCTGCGAGTGTCGTAGCGGTTGTAGCAGATTTTACACTCCAGCTCCTCCAGAGTGTAAACCAGAGACTGAGCCCAGGTCTGCACCTGAAGAGGAGTCATTATAACAATACCGTTATTCATAAAGCGCTACACAAATAAAGAAGACAACAAGTAAAGTTAGGGTCTAAAGAAGTGAGTTTAATAGTTTCCTTCTCAGGGAAATCTAACCTTGGCTTCCATCTCCCGGCCAGGCTCAGCCTCCTTCAGCAGGCTCATTCCTATTGGCTGTTGTTTTCACCTGAACCAGGAAGCAGGGCGGCGGTGGGCGGGGCTTCACTCAGCCTGTCAGCTGACTGGAGACAAAAAGGGAAATTATTTAAATCATAAAATAAAATAATGTATAACTCTCCTGAATTACACTGTAAGAACCGTGAGCAAACTCTTTCACAACAAGCGCCAGGAGCCGTGTTAGCATGCTATATGTGTGTTAGCACGCTGGATGTGTGTTAGCACCAAGATACATGTACTGTGGTGCAGCCTGGGAAACGCTGGTTGAATGAGATATACATCCAAGAGGATATAATCTGATACTGCCAGTAGGCCAATCTCTGTATACTTACCTACGCAATCAAATGATGAAGATGTCTGCCGAATCTCGACAGCGTCACAGATACCTGCCCCTCTCTGGACCCGCACTGTCAATCGTCTCAATCAACATCGAAGGTTTCTCCGGATGCAAGGCAGAGATACTGGCAACGATGGCCAATCGTTTTGACATACTCTGCATGCAGGAAACCCACATCGGCCCTGCACAACACCGACCTACCATCCCTGGAATGAAACTGGTCGCAGAGACCCGACACAGACAGTATGGATCAGCTGTTTTCAGCAGACCAAACCTCAAGATTGAGGAAGTCTGGACCCACACTACGGAAGGAAACATGGAAACCATCACAGTTGCCCTCCCAAATGTCTCTGTCACATCAGTCTACAAACCACCCGCAACCCCTTTTCTGTACACAGAACTACCAGAAAGATGCAAGAGGAGATTCCATATCAGCATCGGCGACTTCAATGCCCACAGTACATCATGGGGCTATGAGAACAACAACCAAGATGGAGATGAAGTTGAAACCTGGCTTGAGTCCAAGCACCTGACCCTAATCCATAACGCTAAACTACCCAAATCCTTCCACAGCGCCAGATGGAAACGAGGATACAACCCAGACCTCGCCTGTGTAAGCAGTGGCATCGCATCCAGAACTGAGAAGGAAGTCCTGGACCCTATCCCCCATACCCAGCACCGGCCAATTGCCATCACCGTTAGATCCGCTCACCAAGCAACCACCGTCCCATTCCGCACGAGGTTCAACCTACGGAAAGCCGACTGGTTGTCGTTCCAACAGGAGATAGAGCATTCCATATCTCACATACCACCATTTCCCAATAACTACTCCAACTTCACAGACTTGGTAAAAAGGTCAGCCAGACGTCACATACCCAGGGGATGCCAGACACAGTATATTCCTGGGCTATCAGAAACATCCAGCGACCTGCTGAAAGCCTACTATGAGGAATATAATAAGGACCCTTTCTCCTCTACCACCATGGAACTTGGAGAGACCCTGATCAGTGAAGTTGGGGAAGAACGAAGGAAAGTCTGGAAGGAAATGATGGAGAACACCACTATGACAAATAACAGCAGGAAGGCATGGGCTACAATCCGCCGTCTTGGCGAAGACCACACCACACCACCCATAATCACAACGGTCACAGCAAACTCGGTTGCATCACAGCTGGTGGCCAACGGCCGTAACCAACACCGCCGCCAACCCACAGGAGAACACCATCGCACAGTGGTATCAGACCAACCACAACCAGCCAGCCCTCTCACCAAACCCTTCGACATAGAAGAACTCAAAACTGCAATGGGTAAGCTGAAACCCGGAAAAGCAGCAGGGATTGATGACATACTGGCAGAAATGATACAGCACCTGGGACCTAACGGAAAGACCTGGGTCCTGGAGATGCTGAACACATGTATGGCACAAAAAACCATCCCTCCTGTCTGGAGAAAGGCCAAAGTGGTTGCAATCCCCAAACCCGGCAAAGACCCATCATCCCCAAAGAGCTACCGACCCATTTCCCTCCTCTGCATCACTTACAAACTCTACGAGAGGCTGCTACTCCAACGCCTCATGCCACTCATAGACACCAAGCTGACTAAAGACCAAGCTGGTTTCCGTCCTGGCCGCTCCTGTGCTGGACAGCTACTCAACCTCACCCAACACATTGAGGATGGGTTTGAAGGAACACAAATAACTGGAGCAGCATTCATAGATCTCTCTGCTGCCTATGACACTGTCCAACACCGTACAATGGTCAGGAAACTACTGGATATGACTGGTGACCTGAATCTGTGTCAAGTCATCAAAAGCCTCCTCAACAACAGGCGCTTCTACGTCCAGTTAAATGACCAGAGGAGCAACTGGAAAGCCCAAAAGAACGGCCTCCCACAAGGTAGCGTACTGGCCCCCCTCCTGTTTAACATATACACAAACGACCAGCCACTACCCCCAGAATGCCAGCGTTTCATCTACGCAGATGACCTCTGCATCACCACCCAACAAGTAGACTTCCAGAAGATTGAGCCTGTCCTTGAAGGTGCCCTCCAAGAAATGTCAAGCTACTACAATAACAACCACCTGAAACCCAACCCATCAAAAACCCAACTATGCAGCTTCCACCTGAGGAACAGAGACGCTAAAAAAGAACTGAGCGTCACCTGGGATGGCCACAAACTGTCCAACCACACGCATCCCATGTATCTTGGTGTTACACTGGATAGGACACTCTCCTTCAAGAAACATCTGGAGAACACCAAAGCCAAGATCAACACTGCGCAAACTAGTGAACTCCAAGTGGGGCGCAGATCCACCAACAATCCGTGCAACTGCCATGGCCCTGTGTTTCTCTACAGCAGAGTATGCCTGCTCAAGCTGGAGCCGATCACGTCACACCAAACTGGTCGACACAGCCTTGAATGACACCTGCCGCATCATCACGGGATGCGTTAAGACAACACCTGTCCCGTGCCTCTATGCGCTAGCCGGCATCTCTCCCCCACACATCAGACGACTGGGTATCGCTCAAGATGAACGGAGAACACAGGAGACAGACATCAGACACCCCTTGCATGGCCACGTAGCACCCCCACGCAGGCTCCGATCCAGAGCCAGTTTTGTGCAGACAGTCCTGCCCCTCCAGACAACCAAACAAGCAGCAAGGACCAACCTCTGGGAAGATGAATGGCAAAGACATGACACACGAGCTCTTGAATGGCTGGGCAGAGGAATCACACCAACGGAAAGCCTTGCTAGTGGCCACGACCTTGGCTGGACAACCTGGAAGTCACTTAATAGACTGCGTGTGGAACAGGGGAGGTGCAAAGCACTGATGAAAGTGTGGAACTACACCACAGAAGACACGTGCAGCTGTGGATCAGTGCAGACAATGTCCCACCTACTGGAATGTGCCGATGCCCCCCGGTGCAGTCCAGAAGACCTGGCAGAACCTACCCCATCAGCTGTGGCCTGTGCCCGATACTGGCAGAACGACATCTGAGATTGCTAAGGACTCGAAGAAGAAGCATGCTATATGTGTGTTAGGATGTGTGTTAGCACGCTGGATGTGTGTTAGCATGCTATATGTGTGTTAGCACGCTGGATGTGTGTTAGCATGCTATATGTGTGTTAGCACGCTGGATGTGTGTTAGCATGCTAGATGTGTGTTAGCATGCTATATGTGTGTTAGCACGCTGGATGTGTGTTAGCATGCTAGATGTGTGTTTTACTAGCTGGATGTGTGTTAGCATGCTAGATGTGTGTAGCACGCTGGTTGTGTGTTAGCATGCTAAATGTGTGTTAGCACGCTGGATGTGTGTTAGCATGCTAAATGTGTGTTAGCACGCTGGATGTGTGTTAGCAGGCTGGATGTGTGTTAGCACGCTGGATGTGTGTAAGCATGTTATATGTGTGTTTTACATGCTAGATGTGTGTTAGCATGCTAGATGTGTGTTAGCACGCTGGATGTGTGTTAGCATGCTAGATGTGTATTTTACATGCTAGATGTGTGTTAGCATGCTAGATGTGTATTTTACATGCTAGATGTGTGTTAACATGCTAGATGTGTGTTAGCACGCTGGATGTGTGTTAGCATGCTAGATGTGTGTTAACATGCTAGATGTGTGTTAGCACGCTGGATGTGTGTTAGCATGCTAGATGTGTATTTTACATGCTAGATGTGTGTTAGCATGCTAGTTGTGTGTTAGCATGTTGAATGTGTGTTTTATATGCTAAATGTGTGTTAGCATGCTGGATGTGTGTTAGCATGCTAGTTGTGTGTTAGCAAGCACGCTGGATGTCGGTTGATGTTTGTCTGATTGGTTGGTACCAGGTTGGTACGTACCTGACTTCAGATCAGCTGATCAATCCGACAGTCTAAGAGTACGCCAACTGCACAGACAGACAGACAGAGAGACAGACAGACAGACACACAGACAGAGAGACAGACAGAGAGACAAACAGACAGACAGAGAGAGAGACTGACAGACAGACAGAGAGACAGACAGACAGACAGACAAACAGAGAGACAGACAGAGAGACACACAGACAGACACACAGACAGAGAGACAGACAGAGAGACAAACAGACAGACACACAGACAGAGAGACAGACAGAGAGACAAACAGACAGACAGAGAGAGAGACTGACAGACAGACAGAGAGACAGACAGACAGACAGACAAACAGAGAGACAGACAGAGAGACAGACAGACAGACAGACAAACAGACAGACAGAGAGACAGACAGACAGACAGACAAACAGAGAGACAGACAGACAAACAAACAGAGAGACAGACAGACAGACAGACAGACAGAGAGACAGACAGACAGACAGACAGACAGACAGACAGTTAGCAGGTACAAACCATTTAAAATATTTATCTCATCTAGTTTATTGTTGATGTTAATCTAAGAAGAGACCTTGGATGGACAAAACACACACACACACAACACACACACACACACACACACACCACACACACACACACACACACACACACACACACACACACACACACACACACCCCACACACACACACACACACACCACACACACACACACACACACACACACACACACACACACACACACACACACACACACACACACACACACACACACACACACACACACACACACACACACACGTGTATTTATAGACTGCAGCTGTTATATAACTGGGGGAGGGTACACTGGGGATGCTGTTGTTGCTATGGCAGCAGCTTTACCTGTGCTGGACCTCAGACGAGCCAATCAGATGAAAGAGATGTGATCACATGGTTTGATCAGCTGATTCACTGAAATGGGATCATTTCACTTTTTATTCAGATCAACCGGCAGCAGAGCAACTCATTCAATAAACGTGATGACAGCAACTCAGTATTCAGAGTTGAGTGATGTGTTGCTGCTCACCTGCTGATGAAGAGGGTTACATTGATGGAGTTGCTGTTTTGACATCAACAAAATGTCAAGTTGCTAGTCAGTTGCTAGTTGCTTTTCATGTAGTTTCTGTACTTCCCTCTGACCAAAGCAACATGGTGGCCAAGTTGCTTCAGCTTTAGTTTAGTAGTTTAGGTTGCTGTAGCTCAAGTTCCTGTAGCCTTAGTTGCTGAAGTTTATAATAGTAGTTTGTACTTTAGTTCCTGTGGTTTTGGTTGCAGTAGGTGACGTTGCAGTAAGTGTAGTTGCTTCTTCCTCACATTAAATTGCAACAACACTGCAGTTGAGCTCTGGTTGCTTTAGTTGCAGGTTCTGTGTAAGCTGTCAGGTTGAAGCAACATAATTGTCATCAAACATGAACAGTCTGGTTGCTAGTTGCAGTTGCCATACTTGTAGTTGCTGTAGATGAAGTTGCTCTGTCAGGTTGCAGCAACACTGCGGTGGTTGCTCTCCATCATCAGTCTCATTAACAGTCTGGTGTCGTCTCTCCTTCTGAAGAGCTAACAGGCGCTAACAGGAGCTAACAGCAGCTAAAAACATGCTAACAGAAACTAACAGAAGCTAACCGTGTCTGTCAGTGTGTCTCCGGTCCGTTAGTTGCCGTTTGCCGGTTGTTTTCCCGGTGACTCACCGCCGTACGTGTCTCTGCTTCTCAGCGATGCGCGCGGCCGGCGGGGCGGACGCGTGCCCGGGTCACCATGGCAACCTGCCCGCAGCTGCATATAAACGAATAGGTGGATATTTACTTATATAATGAATAATAATCCGTATAACGCTAAATAAGTGAGTTGAATGAACTATCTATCTATCTATCTATCTATCTATCTATCTATCTATCTATCTATCTATCTATCTATCTATCTATCTATCTATCTATATATCTATATCTTATGTTTTAATAACTGAGTGTTTTATTATTCTCCATTGTTTGTTTTCTGTTCATGCCCTCAATATGAATTATTGTAATGACCCTGATGTTTATGTGCCTTTTTCAGATTGTATTCAAATAATTATTCAATAAAATCTTTAAAAAACAAACAATCAGTGCATCATTTTAATAAACAAATCATATATATATTATGTTTTAATACCTGAGCGTTTTGTTATTCTCCGTTGTTTTTTTCTAATGAACCTGATGTTTAGATTATGTGCCTTTTTCAGATTGTATTTAAATAATTTGTGTAAGGTAAAGAAATGTGGAGTAGTATTGTTCAATCTTAAGAACCTCTTGAGTTGCGAGAAGGGCAACTGTAAAGCTTTATTTGAGTTCTTAAAAAGTAGTTTATTTTTGTTTTTTATAATTGTTTCTTCCTTGTAGCTCACTGATATGTCCCCCATGATTTGTGGTCCACACTCCAGCAGAGTAGGTGGCGGTAATGCACCTTAAACGCCATTAAACCAAAAAGAAGAAGACGAATCAGTGCATCATGATAATAAACCCTGAAGCGGAACCAATGTGCCGTGTGTTTGTTTCGACTCGAGCTACCTCCACGGTGCCGCAGCCGGAGCATCACTTCCTGCGAATCTCAGCGTCACTTCCTGTGAATCTCTCATAAAGACGGGCTTGGCGGAATCTCCGCAGGTCGAATTTTTCTGGTTTGTTTGGTGAATCCGTCTGCATCGGAGCCATCAGAACCGCAAACATGGTGAGTGATCATCCGGGGAGAGAGGGAGCTGGCTGACGGCTGCTGGGGGAGGATGATTTATCCCGGATCGGTCCCGGTTAGTCCTGGGTTAGTGTAATGGCGGGAGTCTGGGTAACGTCGCTCGTACGTCGGTTAACGGATCGATAATGAGTGTATTTCTTGTTTAGTGTTCACACAACCCGGTCCGTTAACGGCTCTGTGAAACAGCCGTTAACTCACCGGTGTTTACGTGTGTCTGTTAGCCGTTAGCTGCCTGGTGTCGTGGGTTAAGTGCCATGAATGAAATATGTTATGTTGCAACGAGCTAAACCTAGCGATGCTAAGCTAATAGTATTTAGTTTGATACTCTGCACGTGTCTTCCGAACAGTAGTTACTCTCTGCGGCAGAAGTACTATATAGATGATATACTTAAGTACAAGTAGAACAGACGCCTTTATTGTCCTTAAACATGTACAGTGGAAAGAGGCGAGCTACTCCAAACATTCAGAAATATACAACAACAAAAACAAACAGCATTCATACCTGTGTAACAAAATAAAGTGCAGAAATTATATTCAGTATTACAGAGCCGTGTGTCTGTTAGCTGCCCGGTGTCTGTTAGCTGCCGTGTGTCTGTTAGCTGCCGTGTGTCTGTTAGCTGCCCGGTGTCTGTTAGCTGCCCGGTGTCTGTTAGCTGCCCGGTGTCTGTTAGCTGCCCGGTGTCTGTTAGCTGCCCGGTGTGGTGGGTTAAGCTCCATGAATGAAATATGTTATTGAACACCGGGTCAACGAGCTAAAGCTAGCGATGCTAAGCCAACATGATTTAGTTTATCACGTGTCTTCACAACAGTAGTTACTCTCTGCGCCACAGTTACTCAGAAGCGGGAGAAGTACTCAGATTATATACTTAAAAATAAGCACAATAGAAGCCTTTATTGTCCTTATACCTACTCCTTAAGGTAGCATCACACATTCAGAAATATACAACAAACGTTTGTGTGAGCAGGATTCAAGTCTCTCTCATCACGTGCTCAGCAGCTACAGGGTGGATATGGAAATGAAAAACTAGTCCTCCAACAGAGCAACATGAATATATATATATATATATATATATATATATATATATATATATATATATATACATATATATATCACATATATATATCACATATATATATATATATATATATATATATATATATCACATATATATATCACATATATATCACGTATATATATATATATATATAGCACGTATATATATATATATATAGCACGTATATATATATATATATAGCACATAGAACATTTAGAATAGTGCAAGAGAATGTTTTGAGGTGTGCAAGTAAATACAAATAGTGCAAGAAGAGTCTATTGAATATGATATATAGATTAATAATCTGCTAAGGGGTTAAAGTGCAATGATCGCTCTGGGGAAGAAACTTTCTTTGAGTCTGTTTGTCTTTGTTTAAAGTCACCTGTAGCGCCTCCAGCAGGTCACACAGGTGAGTTCCCTGAGAGGGTAGTGTCCATCAGGGAGGGGAGAGGGCAGGGTCTTCCTTTCTGTACCGATACTTGAGAATAAGGTGCTTGTGGGTTATCTGTGGCCACTTTTTAATAGCGGGTAGCTGGCTCCTCCACGTAGAAATGAAATGATTCTCTCTCCTTTACGGCGAAGGGTTATTTAGAGAGTCTGAAAACAAGGTGGCGACAGATAACCCACACGTACCAAGAATAATACTTACGTGAAGAAGGGACGAATATACTGCGTCTCTGGTTTCTATAACGCTTTTTATTCATGACTTGAATACACTTCTTTTAGATTGTAAGGGCAAATGTTGAGTGTGTTACATGATGATGTCACTGAGGCTGTTTCTGATTGGTCCTCAGACGGTGGGGAAGAGCAGCAAGATGCTGCAGCACATCGACTTCAGGATGAGGTGCATCCTGCAGGACGGCCGCATCTTCATCGGCACATTCAAGGCCTTCGACAAACACATGAACCTGATCCTGTGCGACTGCGACGAGTTCAGGAAGATCAAGTGAGGATCAGTATTAATGAAGACGTGTGTATACTCACTAGTTCAGGGAGATCAAGTGAGGATCAGTATTAATGAAGACGTGTGTATACTCACCAGTTCAGGAAGATCAAGTGAGGATCAGTATTAATGAAGACGTGTGTATACTCACTAGTTCAGGAAGATCAAGTGAGGATCAGTATTAATGAAGACGTGTGTATACTCTCCAGTTCAGGGAGATCAAGTGAGGATCAGTATTAATGAAGACGTGTGTATACTCACTAGTTCAGGGAGATCAAGTGAGGATCAGTATTAATGAAGACGTGTGTATACTCACCAGTTCAGGAAGATCAAGTGAGGATCAGTATTAATGAAGACGTGTGTATACTCACCAGTTCAGGGAGATCAAGTGAGGATCAGTATTAATGAAGACGTGTGTATACTCACTAGTTCAGGGAGATCAAGTGAGGATCAGTATTAATGAAGACATGTGTATACTCACTAGTTCAGGGAGATCAAGTGAGGATCAGTATTAATGAAGACATGTGTATACTCACCAGTTCAGGGAGATCAAGTGAGGATCAGTATTAATGAAGACATGTGTATACTCACCAGTTCAGGGAGATCAAGTGGAGTCACTGCTTCTTATTTATTAGTTTCAGAACTCCTTTATTAGTCAAAGGTGTTATCGTCATGCTCAGCAGCTACAGAGTGAGCTCCTCCAACGATGCAACATGTATAATAAAATACAAAATAGTGCAAGAAGTCTATATACAATTAAATAGAATATGATATGTACAAGAAGGGGACATCTAAAGTGCTGTTCTCTGTACTTTATGTACACTTCTGCTGTTGTAGAAATGCAACATGTCCCCGTAGGACAAATAAAGGAATGATTCCACTAAATCAGCATTTAAATAGCTTAGTTGTTTGTTTATATATATATATATATATATATATATATATAAATTAGATGTAGTAATGTGAATATTAATGCTGTGTGTCTCTGTGTGAAGGCCTAAGAACTCCAAGCAGCCGGAGCGTGAGGAGAAGAGGGTTCTGGGTCTGGTTCTGCTGCGCGGGGAGAACCTGGTGTCCATGACGGTGGAGGGCCCACCCCCTAAAGATGTGAGTGAGCTGCATGTGGTTGCGTGTAGAAAGAGATATCCATGTGAGGGATTAATAAAGTATCTCTTCTTCTTCACGATGAGAGATTTTATTCTAACAAACTCCCCCTCTCCTCACAGACGGGCATTGCTCGCGTCCCATTGGCCGGCGTGGCAGGAGGCCCAGGTGTGGGTCGTGCAGCGGGACGAGGTGTTCCTGCTGGAGCTCCGATGCCTCAGGCTCCAGCTGGGCTCGCTGGACCCGTCAGAGGAGTGGGCGGGCCTTCACAACAGGTAACCATGGAGACTAACATGTGATATAACAGCTCTGAGCCCGGAGGTATTACTTCGAAGCCAGTTCATCAGAGCCGGGGTTTCTTAAACTGGACACTGAACTAAAGCTCTGGTTCAGAGAGAACATGAAGCCGGCTATCAGGGAGCGTCTTTTCACTCATGAAGTGCATGAAAACCATTAGGGATGTAACTATACCAAAAACTCACGGTACGATAACATCGCGATAACAAGTCCACGGTACGGTATTTATCGCGATATTGAAAAATAAAGAAAGAAAAAAATGTTTGAACTCATCTAGCTTCAGCAGCTACATTACCTACGGGTGCGTTCGATCTAGTACTTGAGTAAAAGTAGAAGTACTCAGATCTTGTACTTGAGTAAAAGTAGAAGTACCAGAGTGTAGGAATACTCTGTTACAGTAAAAGTCCTGCATTCAAATTGTTCCTCAAGTGAAAGTAGAAAAGTATTCTCATCAAAATATAGTGAAAGTAGCGACAGTAAAAGTAGTCATTGTGCAGATTGGTCCATTTCAGAATAATATATATGATATGTTTTATAATGATTGATCATGAAAGTGTTCTCAAAGCTGGTAAAGGTGCAGCTAGTTTGAATGACTTTGTATACTGCAGGGTAGCTTGTGGATTTACTCCAGGTGGAACTAAAGTCTGATTTAACACTTGGTTATATTTCACATCATTCATCCACATCTGTGAAGTAACTAAAGGTATTAAATACATGTAGTGGAGTACAAGTACACCATGTACCTCTGAACTGTAGAGGAGTAGAAGTACAAGGTAGCAACACATTGAATACTTAAATAAAGTACAAGTATCTCAAAATTGTACCCAAGTATAGTACTTGTTGAGTTTATGAACTTAGTTACTTTACACCACTGGCTATACAGACAGAAAGACTAAGCCTTGCACAGAGGCATGAAAATACATTTTCAAAATGCTCAACAGTGCTGCCAACATTATAAACTGACTGCTACACAATTAAAATAAATGCTTTTATATATTTCTATTAGATGTGACTCTTTGGCGTTTCTGTTATTAACTGCTTTAGTTCTGAATGCTAACATCCTGTTAGTCCTCATTTTAAAGCCGATATCCCGTGGGGTCGGGGGGGCTCGGATCCTTGTCACCTTTTTCATACCTGATGAGTTTGCATCCCTGAAAGTGACAGGAACTGGAACAAGAACAACCAGTGTTTGTTTACCTACCAAACAAAGCAGGCATTTTCTTTGTGCCACTGCACCTCACAAATCAACAAGGACATTGAATAATCAGACCCTGCAGTAAAAATGTGAAAGCAGTCTGTCATTTTGACAGATCAGAACAAACAAGTTTCCCCGCAGCGAGGCTCTGGTGTTTGCCGTGTTATTATGCACGCCCTCCAAAAGGGAATGATATAGTTTCCAAACCGTACTTTGCCGTACAGATCGTTGAAATGTGCTTTACGCTGTGCGCGCTCCTGCGAGGTGCATGCATTTCTCGGTGGGCATGCATAACACCCCCCCCACAGTAAATATACTGTTGGCGCGTGTCAATGTCTCTAGGTATGTCAATGTAGCCCTGTCCTTTCGTGTTATCTGTTTTATGTTCATGTTGTAACCTACTTGCTGCCATGTTGGACAGGTCTCTCAACGGGACCACCGGGTTAAAGAAAGGTTTAAAGAAAAAAAAAGATTAATTAACGCGTATGTAATGTAATATCGTGGTAGATTTTGTCAGTCTCACGACGATATTCGGTATATCGTTACATCCCTAAAAACAATCTCTGGCACAGACACATCATGGCACAGACACATCATGGCACAGACACATCATGGCACAGACACATCATGGCACAGACACATCATGGCACACACACATCATGGCACACACACATCATGGCACAGACACATCATGGCACAGACACATCATGGCACAGACACATCATGGCACAGACACATCATGGCACAGACACATCATGGCACAGACACATCATGGCACACACACATCATGGCACACACACATCATGGCACACACACATCATGGCACACACACATCATGGCACACACACCATGGCACAGACACACCATGGCACAGACACACCATGGCACACACACCATGGCACACACACCATGGCACACACACCATGGCACACACACCATGGCACACACACCATGGCACACACACCATGGCACACACATCATGGCACACACATCATGGCACACACACACCATGGCACACACACACCATGGCACACACACACCATGGCACAGACACACCATGGCACAGACACACCATGGCACAGACACACCATGGCACACACACATCATGGCACACACACCATGGCACACACACACCATGGCACACACACACCATGGCACACACACATCATGGCACAGACACACCATGGCACAGACACACCATGGCACAGACACACCATGGCACAGACACATCATGGCACAGACAGCCTGTTGCTGCGAAATAGAGATGACTATTGGAAGAAATGTACATATTCCCACGGGTGACATTATGGTTTTACGGAATTCATCTGCAAGTAAAAGGGACTTGTTTGTGAGCGGCGGTATTTGCTTATTTGAATCCTAAACTATGATTGAACCTGGTGCGGAGCAGTTTGTGTCTCCATGGTGATCTAGCCAGGTTAAAAGATAGCCACCTTCTCTTTAGGCTCAACATACCTGATGACCCCTAATCTGGTGTGTGTGTTCAGGTAATGACTTCCTGTTTGTCTCCAGGTTATGACACCCCAAGGCAGAGGGACGGTTGCCGCGGCAGCAGCAGGAGCCAGTATCGCCGGGGCCCCGACTCAGTATCCACCTGGACGAGGAGCCCCGCCCCCGATGGGCCGAGGAGCCCCGCCCCCAGGTGATCAATACTCACTGAGCACAGGTTCACCTGAAGAGAAACCACTTCAGACCCCCTCCACCTGTAGCGGGGAAATGTAAAAATGTTTGTTAATAATAATAATAATGTACAAGTGACCATCCCATAATAACACCTGTCTCCTGTCCCCAGGTATGATGGGCCCGCCCCCCGGCATGAGGCTTCCGATGGGCCCTCCAATGGGGATGCCCCCTGGTCGAGGAGCTCCAATGGGAATGCCCCCTCCTGGCATGAGGCCGCCTCCCCCCGGCATGAGAGGTAAGCTGTGTTGCCATGGAGACGCCTTACAGGGGCCAATCAGATGGGAGTGCCATTAATAGCTCCGCCCTCCCCAGCTGACTGTTAAACACCAAACTTTTGAAAGAACACCCATAACATTCGTCTGTTTGCAACTTATCAATATTCCAATTACTTGTATACTATTCTGCACAGTTTCTATTATATTTTATTTACTTACACTATTGTCCGTTTTATTGTGTTGCTCTGTGGGAGGAGCCTGTGACCTCAGATTTGTATTGATATAACTACACTAGCTATGTACAAATGACTATAAAAGCCTTGAATGAGCTGTCGGCCAATCAGATCTCCCGTATCCTGAAATGTGGTGTTTTATGTGTGAATGTGAAGCATTAACGGACCTTTCGTTCTGTTGTAGGACCTCCCCCACCTGGGATGAGACCGCCTCCCAGACCCTGAAGCCCCGCCCCCTCAGACTTACCTGTTGTATAGGTTTTTCTTTTTTTAATGTTTTGTGTTTTTTAAATAAAGTTTCTTCAGGATGGTTTGAATTTCTGCCTGGCTGTCAGTTATTATATCAACCTGGAAGACTAATATGTACCTGTATCACATGACTCAGCAGGAGAGGACTCTTTAAAGTAGAGACACTACATACTGATATACACCTGAACATCAGCAGGAGAGGACTCTTTAAAGTAGAGACACTACATACTGATAAACACCTGAACATTAGCAGGAGAGGACTCTTTAAAGTAGACACTACATGCTGATGTACACCTGAACATCAGCAGGACAGGACTCTTTAAAGTAGAGACACTACATACTGATATACACCTGAACATCAGCAGGAGAGGACTCTTTAAAGTAGAGACACTACATACTGATAAACACCTGAACATTAGCAGGAGAGGACTCTTTAAAGTAGACACTACATACTGATATACACCTGAACATCAGCAGGAGAGGACTCTTTAAAGTAGACACTACATAATGATAAACACCTGAACATTAGCAGGAGAGGACTCTTTAAAGTAGACACTACATGCTGATATATACCAGAGGCCTGTACTACGAAGCTGGTTCAACCTAACCTGGATATGTTCGAGTTAGCCGGTTGGCCTAATCCAAAACATACGCCCTCTCGCTAAGCGGTCCTACGACGCTGGTTATGGCTTGAGCGATCCACTTGATAACCAGCGTCGTAGGACTGCTTAGCCTCTGGTGTATCTTGGCTGGCTCTTAGCGTTCACTGGTGTTTTGATATCTAACCTATCTAATTGTGATTTAAGGAAGAGGATAAGGGATAGAAGGAAACCGTTTTGGGATGATACCAAAAGTCAAAATATTTTTTCGGACTTTATTTTCAGACCTTTTACTTTTTTTTCTCAGAATTATTACTTTCTGAATTTTCACATGTAATTTTCTAATTTTAATTTTTTTCTCAGAATGTTTTTTATTTATTAAGTTTGCACTCTACTTTATTGTCTTGTAAATGTGTGTTATGTGAATTCTTGTCTTCTGTTTGCACCTGTCCCTCCTTTTCTCCAAAGACTCTGGAAGCCATGTTGTTTGTATTTGCCCCTCCCTCTGGAATTCACTCCCACAGCCAATCAGAGACCTCCTTCACCTTCAATCAGAATCAGAATTAGAAACAGGTTTATCACCAGGGGGGTATACTACGAATCTAGTTCAACATATCCTGGATATGTTTCGAGTTATCCGGTTGACTTAATCAAAACAAAAAACGCTCTCGCTAAAATGTACTACGACGCTGGTAATCAACTCGATCGCAAGCCAGCCGTGTCCTATCCATGGATGTATAATAAGAACAACTAGTTAGGTGGCGTTCACATGAAAGGGGTGGTATTTGGAGCATTCGACCAATCACAAACATGGAGAAGCGTACTGACAGCGCAGCGTCATACTTCCTGAATGAAAAGTGAACTTTAATATTAGTCAAATATGAAGAAGTTAAACTTTAAACATCCATGACTTAAACACTTTATCCAGGATCAAAGCCACATAGCTGCACCTGCAAGGTGAATACAGCTGGTAACAGAGAAAGTGTTTGAATGCGTACATTAACAGGTTTATGAAATCACTGCCCCGTCCAAGACACGATCTGACTTTAATTACATTTGACTCCAGTGTTTCGTCAACTTAATGTGTTGCTTAAAATAATACTTCTGCATACAGTATGCGACACTGTGAGTGTTGCACGGCCAGATACGGCTCAGCTGACTCAGATAAGGAAATATATGATACATTATGATGTGATATCATGTGATATGAATGATAATGGGACACATCGACGTCTGCCCTCACAGTGCCGCGGACTGTAGGCTACGTAATGTTACTTTGATCCGGTTACTTATGTTGTGGCAGATATTTAATTAAGCGTTCTTAACATAATAGTATAATAATAGTATAATAGTTATAGGCTAATAGTCAGATTGCTCTGAAGATGGGAGGTGATATTCTATTCATTTTCACGTTCACACAGTCTGTGATTTTGGCCGGCCGTCTTTCCAGCAACGGCAGTTTAAACTGTATTTCCTCCGCACACTGAGCTCTGATTGGTCAGCAGGTGGTGCTTTCACTGAGTTGATCTCTTATCCTGGAACC